TCTCAACTTTCTGCTGGCACATATACCACATCGGATTACTGCCACATACTACTTATATATGTCAGAGTAGGTTGTATACACCACAACACCCGATTCAGTGGTCTAGAGATTAGGTATTCGAGAGGAAAAATGAAGGTTCTAGGTTCAATTACAGGATGCGGGTTCGTGGATGAGTACTGTTGATGAGTCTCTTATTAAGATGAAATGAACTTTTAATCCTTCCGTGTTTTTGATTGTAGTCTAATCAATATCAACTCGTGATTTGGACTATGGGAATATACAGAATAGTTATACCACCTATCTCCCCTTATCACCCATCTCATCAGTTGAGGTAAATACAATTAAAGTTCTAGAGTAGTATGGCTGTAGCATGCATGGATGAGAGCATAGAATACGTAGAGTAGCAGCCAACTTTCTATCTAATAAGAAAGAACATTGCAATACTCTCCCTACAGTGTATGTTTAAATAATTGCTTCAATCATGTTATTTTCTAACCTGAATACATGTAATTTCTTAACGCTGTTGATTTGTGGTCACCATTTTGCTCTATATTATGTATTGAGCAACTAAATAATTAGAAGTTATCTGCTTTCTGTATTGTGTTGATTATAGGGTAGGCAAGAGTGGGGCACTGCCTTCTGGATCAATAGTTACTTGGTGTTATTTTCGGCTGTTACTCACATTTATCGTGTCATTGATTTGCCGCAGGTCACTAGCACTAGATAAACTGTCTATGAGCTGATCAATACTTAAATGAGATCAATACAACTGCTCTCCTGTCTTACTATCTGATCACACGTATCACAAAAATACCAGTACATTACTAACATGTAATTTATTTGAAGGCTATATAAATCGGAATCATTTGCCCGTCTGGTATCATGCTATTTCGCATTTAACAGCAGTATGATATGTTTGCAGTACTGGGGAAACTGATGCAACTCGTGGGTTTTCACCCGAAATAACCTATTATTACAGTGTGAAACTGTATTACTGACGTAATAAACCCAACTGACCTCCTGTAGGACTGAGATACTGGGTATAAAGAATATCATAGTCGTTTAGTCCTAGGTGCTCATCGAATCCCGGCAATCAAAATGCAACGTAGTTTATAGTTCAAATGGATCTACTCCAAACGCCGAACATCAAAAAATAACGCACACAAGGTTAATTCACCCAGACTAGTAATCACGTCATCACTGAATCAATAGAATTCTACTGATGTTGAAAACTAAACTAGCACGACATTAAAAATCAATCAATATAAATGAGGTAATAGTGTGATAAGTGTCATCAATGTATCAAGGTGAAATGACCTTGTTTTGTCTTGACATGCAATGGAATAGTCTACAATGTCAGTTACTTATAATTAACAAATAGTCTGACATAAATGTGTGCTAGCTCAAGTTGTCTTACCTTATTAGCACAACAAAATAAATGCCAATGGAATCGAAATAATACAGTAGTGAGAACACTTAATATCAGGAAGATGGTTCAAAAAGACAAAACGCAATTAGATGGACGAATAGAACTACTGGAACTTAAGAGCTTACTTACATACTTACACCTGTTACTCCTCGTGGAGGAGCATAGACCGCCAAATTAAGGTCTACAGAACAAAACGTAAATACATTTAGGCGACTGTAACCAATTCCAAATCATTAACATCCACCGTCTCCAATCGTATGTTGAGGTTATAATATGAATTTTGACCAGGCAAACATAATTAATGTTTATTGTCTAATTCAATGGTATTTCTTTAAACAAACTCGGTGAAGTGCAATAGTGAGGTAGTTACTTATAAATGATGATCTCTGTATATCATACGAAGTTATAAATATAGACCATTGATCCTTGAATCAATGACTGTTAATCACCACAAGTGAATGATACTAGACTGATCTGTTATAGGATCGTAGATCTATACTCATAAAGAGCTTTAAACTAAAATAAAACACCTTTACAGTGTTACCTGACATTTGTACATCATGAATGACATTGGCTTAATATATACTGTCAGAAGGGGTTTTTGTATAAATGAGTTGAATAAAGCTAGACCACCATAGGAAGCCTGGAAGCACTGAACAGATGTATGGGACTCCTCAGTAGTGTACATCCATGATCCTGTATGCGGGATTCGAACCTTCGGTCACGCGGACGAACGTTTAACCACTAGATCATTAAGCTGGTCGGCATACAATGATTTTAATGTCTAACTTCAACTAATCCACGAAATTGTGCGACACATCCACTATTGTCTTCAGTGAGTTACTATCTCACAACAGACCTGGTTGTACTCCATTGTTCACGGCTTCTCACTAGGACTTCAGGAAATACCTGTTAAAGCCAGTCACTAGTGTGCAGATGATAACTATTATCAGAAGAGGGTTTTGTGGAGACTTTAATAATTTAATAGTTGAAATCATGAACCAGTTAAAGTTAGATCACCATGGGAAACCTAGAAGCATTGAACGACTGTTTCGTCATAGTATGACACTCCTCATCAGTACACATCTACGATCCCACTCACTGGATTCAAACCCAAGATCTATCGGGCCAATTTATTCATTCTAGTTGAGTCATATTTTGACCTTGTTAGTTATTCACTTATCTCAATCTTGACTGTTTTTTATAGGATCGTATTATTTGTGTGTGCCCTTCTTATCCTATTCATCATATATCTGTAGCCTATTTTTGCGTGACTATAAATATTGATTAAAACTTGACTAAATGGAGTCGGTTTACCGGCTATCTCCACTCCACGTCGTTTCGATTCGCTCTATTCTATTCGCTTGATATATCAAATATATGGATTCAATAGACCATTCTCGTTATTTGACTTATTTAATTTCGTTACTGACTAACGCATTTTAAGTCGATAATTACATACAACGATAGGCGACATGTATATATTTCAATAACAATCATCATTACGATCTCCTTGGAGTCAGATCTCAGGCCACTAAAGTGATGAGCCCGTCGACAAACATCATCCAATTTAAATGATGATAAAATAAAGGGCCCCACTAAATGTTGTTTCATTTGAATCAAAAGTATTGGATATATGATATATTTCAATAATGTAATAAAAAGACGAAGATTATCAGAACTATGTGATGATATATTAGTGCAATACATTTCGAACAATCTGATCACATATGATATACTTGTTAAGAACATTTATATATAAAAATAAAAGGTCACTTAGGCTGGAAATGGGGGTTAGAGGAGATAAGAATAATAATAAGAGTAATAATAATAATAGTAATAATTCTCGGAGTTCTGGTGAGAAGCCGTGACCAGTGGAGCTAATTCGTGTCGGGTAGAAACAAGTGTCTACCTCAGTACAATGGAAGATGGTTGCGCAACTTCGTGGATTGGTTGAGGTTAGACATTAACACCATTGGATGCCGGCTAAGTGGTCGTTCGCCTACAAAACTGAAGGCCCTGTGTTCGAATCCCACGAGAGGGATCGTGGATGCGCACTGCCACTGAGGAGTTCCACAATAGGACGAAACGACCGTCCAATGCTTCCAGGTTTTCAATGGTGGTCTAACATCAATCGGTTCATGATTTCAATCAAAACTTAACAATCTCCACAACCCCTATACTGATAATAATAACAATGTGAACACAATTTGAAACCTAATCACTCTGGATAATGAGTCAATATTACCAAGGGTAGGTTTAAGGTGAGAACAAACTGTTTTTGAACACACAAAGGGGGTTTGAATTTTCATATGACTAAGGCTTCAATAAACCTTAGTATACACCCTTTTACACTTTTATACAACACCACAACAACCGAGTTAAGATCAATCTTATGACCTGTTTCAATTATATGATTAGCAAAATAGAGGATGATGGATGTTTATCCTCTACCTTTATTAGGTCACTTGATTCTATTCGTTTCTGTAACCATTTTGGTACATGTTCGTTCACACACCATCATTTTGAGATCACGATTACTCCTCCATATGTATGTGTGACCACACAGATATATATACCTATAGTTCTATTAAATCATTTAATCTATATTGAAATCTAACTAAATCATATAATTCCAACTTATCATTGAATGAATTGTATACATTTTGTCAACGAATAGGTAACATTGATGTACTGTTGTGGTAAACATGAATACATGGTAGGGATAACCAATCACTATTTGTTCTTATTCTCCTCTCTTTGATTTTCTGCTCCCATTCTACTACCAAATATTTCATTTTTAATTGATGATACATACTACTTATATTGTCTATTACAACATCAGTAGCATATATCATAGTATAACTTCATTCAGATTAACATTACTTAGAGTCATCCAGAAACTCTCTCTTTACACTTTATTCTATTTGCTAATTTATTATTCTATGATAGAATGACACTAAAATTACATAATCATTAAGGAATAGTAAGGTATATTATTCAATAGTTAAAATAAATCTAAGATACTTACCCCCCAAATGCCCTGGTACGGCCGAGAGTGGGGAGAGTCAGCTCTCCCTCTCCAAATGCCCTCACATGGCCACGCGTATATAACCTCTGCCAAGGAAGTCCTACTCACTGCCTTCTCATGGTGGGGGTGTTGCTTGCGAAATTGAGAGGACGAAAAGCGAATGTCAGGCGCTTTAACCAGGTTGGTTGAAATGGAGAGTTTACCTAGGGGAGTTGGAAAACCCTAATTTCAAACCAATGGTGCACATGGACTCCAGTACCCTGAGGGAACAAATAGCGTATGAACTAATCGTTGGTCACCGGCTGGCTACCATGGGACTGCATCTCTTTACGATGCTTCACTGCCTCGTGGATCAGACCATTCGATCGAAGGCTCCTGGTATGGCCCCCTAAGTAAATCACATGCTTCTGTTTGGGCACCCGGTCAGTAACACAGCCCTCACATATATCAAATGAGATCTGTGTGGTGCATATATGTATGTGGTACTCTCCCCCTGTACCCATATTTGTGTTAAAATAAAAATAAAAAACAGATACTTACCCATAATAAATAAGTAATTTATAATGAAAATAACATAATCCTTAGAAGCCTAGTTAAACTATTCGTATAATCAATGTTTTCTTTAGTATCTGTGGTATTATTGATTTATTGATATGTATAATTTACAATGATGCAATGATACACAAATTTAAAGATATAATAAATCTGATTGGTTTATTTCATATTTATTCGATTATTTATATACATATATACATATATACTACTTAAATTATCGAACACATTTTAGTTACTAAGCCTATAGATATAGTAACTAAGTGAAGATGATATATTAAATCTATAGTAGTAACTAAGTGAAATGATTATTATTACTTTTTATTTTTATAAAAAAAATTCAAACATAAATACACTGTGATCTGATAAATTGGATGAAAACCAGATTTTGAAAAAAACAACAACATGGAGACTATAATTTATAGACGAACCAATCAGGTGAAAGATAATAGATCTTGAATTTTGGCGCAAAATTGAATTCAATTCATTTGATTAAATTAAGGTTTAATATTATAATTCATGTTAGTTCATGATGAAAACCATAAATTGAATTTTTTTTTTAAAACCTTAATCATCAATTATAATTCTTATAAGCCTCATTTAGTCCTAGTTACCTGATGAACACTCTTAAGATCAGTTTGTAGTGAACAAGAATACGAGTGGAGCCAATCGAATGTATATGACATGAAATTACAGAGCATTTCACTAAGATCTGTGAACCATAAAGTAAATATCAGAAGGGATTTTGTGGAGATATTTTTTTAAAAATTTCAGTCAATTGAAGCTAGTTCACCATGGGCAACCAGGAAGCACTGGACGGCTGTTTCGTCCTAGCATGAGACTCCAAAGCAGTGAGCATCCACGATCCCGTCCCCCTGTGAGATTCGAAATCAGGACCTATCAAACTCATGATTTTAACTATTGAAATTAATAAAATCTCCACAAAACCCTCTTCTGATAATAATTATCATCTGCTCACTAATGACTGGCTTTAAGAGGTATTCCCTGGAGTTGTAGTGAGAAGCCGTGAACAATGGAGTTCAACCAGGTTTTCAGCTCACTGAAGACAATGGTGGATATGTCGCTCAATTTCATGGATTAGTTGAAGTTATATATTAACATCGTCGTATGCTGGTTAGCTCATTGGTCTAGTGGTTAAGCGCTCGCACGCGAGACCGGTAGGTCATGGGTTCGAACTCGAAGGGGGGAGGCAGGATCGTGGATGCTCACTGCTGAGGAGTCCCACACTAGGACGAAACGGCCGTTCAGTGCTTCCAGGTTTTCCATAGTGATCTACTTTCAACTGACTCATGATTTCAACCATAAAGTAAATACTTAATTTTGAAATTGTTAATCAATTGTCTCAAACTTGACTGTTTCTAATGCAAATGTCAGTCTATCGTCTCCGATTTCATTGTTCCTGTATTTTCATACCAATCGCTTTCCGTTCTCATTCTTTCCTTCTCGATCTTCTACTGAAACACCTTCTATTCCTGACTATCCTTATGTACTACTTATATGGATATAAGTAGCTCACATCACAATAGGACCTCTTCTATTCTCATATAGGTGACAGATAATGGTTGTTAAAAAACATCTATAAAATACATTTTTCAATAATTATAATTTGAATGTATATTAAATGGAAATTCGTCACCATATTACATAATTGACGCTAAAACCACCACCACCACCACCCTTCCACTGTAAAGAGTCACTTAAAATTACATCAGTGATTGAAGGTTGTATGAATGAGTTTCTTTGTCAAAAACACATTATGCTTCAAGAATAGATGAACCATTTACGAAGATATTTTTTATATCCCTATGAGTAGGAAAATCGTATTTCTGATGTTTCGCAACTTAATGTAAACCACTTCTTCAGAGTAAATAAATAAAAGAATTGACTTAATACAGTTCACTTGGTATTGTTTGCTTGTATCTTACCATTGATGTTTAGGATTGCAATTAATTAGCTTCATGTCGGCATGTGTGTATCCTGTACGGACTACAGAGATAGTGCCTTAAATCACAAACTTTATAAGCAAAGATGGGTAGTGTCTAGCAGTGAGGACCAGGACACGCATTTCAACTCATTGAGGACTTGTCAGCTGGACACACATGCATATCAGAGTTGGTGTTCACTCTGGGACTCGAACCCACTGCCGTTCGCTTTAAACTCTATCGCGTTATCCACTTAGATACTGAGTCCTGATAGCGACTTGGTTATGCAACGGGGTAAAGTTTAATTCACTTGGTATTAATTGCTTGTATCTTCCCATTGTGTGCATAAAACGTCACGAAACTATTTGTTCGATTATATATACATATGTACTACATAAATTATCGAACATATTTGATTCCTAGCTGATGAGTCCCCAACAGAACAAAACGTACGTCCTGGGTTCCACTTTGCTTACAATGCTTGTGACTTAAGACAATATCGAAGCAATCCACATAAGGTACACATATGCCAATAAGAGACTAATCAAATACAGTCCTAAACATCAATGAGAAGGTTCAAACAAACATTACAAAATGAATTTAAACCTGACTACACTGCACAAGCAAGTGGCTATCAGGACTCAACCCTACCACTTCATATTACAAACGCGTACGGTTTTTATACCCACATTCTGACACAAAAATTAATACAATGAAAGGTCATATCACAAATTCACTTTGACCAAGAATAATTTGATTTCAACATTTTCACACAGATTATGATTTTAATAGTTGAATTCAAGAGTCACTTGAAGCTAGACCACCATGGAAAACCTGAAAACACATGACAACCGTTTCCCTCAAGTATGAAACTGCTTAACAGTGCTCATCCATGAATCCACATCCGGTAATCGCGCACAAACTCTTAATCTCTAGACGATTGAGTCAGCATTCAAAAGGTGTTAATGTCTAACTCCACTCAATCCATGGTATTGAAAGATCACTTTCCATCATATGTAACGGGTGACTACCGAAACATGACACCGATTGAACTCCACTGACCACAGAATCTCACCACAGCTCCAGAAATTTCTTCTCGAGTTTAAACACTAATGAGCATGTGATAATTGTCACTAAGGGGTTGTGGATATTGTGAACATTCACTAAAATCATATATAAGACAGCCTCTACAACGAGTTCGTGTTCCATGTTACTATTCTCTTGGTATGTGCTCATATCGTACGTCCAATGTCTAATAGGATCCCATGGTTCAACATTGTAGGATTAATTTGATCGAAGAATTAATTATTAAACCAGTCTGTTTAATTTATCAAGGTAACTTCTTATTCAAAATTTCTATATGTTAGCTTATGTTTATTCATCTATAATTTAGAAGTGTTAGATCCAGAGACTACATAGAATAATTTAGAAAGAGTTCAATACAGTAATGCTACAACTACAATCTTTTACTTAAACAACAGGGAATCCGTACATAAAATATGATTCGCCTAGAATAACTGCCATCTTCTAAGCTAATCAATTCAAATATGATTCATTGGTCAATGATTTACTATTTAACACTTTCATATTCCTGAACACTTTCTGAGATGACTCAAAAAAATCTGGATAATACCGTAATTAGTTGTGTCCTTACCCAAACATTGATTTCGCTAACATTAATGAGTTTGGCTGTAAGTGGAATAGGTTCATTTTGGCCTGTTTGTGGTGTGCATAATTGATTCATGCGATCATTGATCAGAATAATTATTATACATGTGATGTGAATGTGTATATGAATGGTGGGAATGGTCCATCAGGGTGCTTGGTACCTGTGTGGTTGCACCACAGAATTGAACTGTACTATTCAGATTGTAGCGTTAAAGCCTATACGGTGTCTGGTTCTCCTGGGAAGCGGGATTGAGCTGTACTGCTTGGTTTATAAAATTTAAGCCTGAGTGGAGTCTGGCTCTCCTGTTAAACGAGGTTGAGCTGTACTGTTTGGGTTGTCACATGAAAGTCCGGACGGTGTCTGGCTCTCCTGAAACCTGATGTAAAATTATCCTGGCCCACAAGGGTATATTATATAAACTTACCTAAACATGACATTCAGTGACCATAATCAGTCGTTTTCAGTAATTTACCATGTTAGTAAAATTCTTCCGAAATCTGTAAGATACTCATTCCCAATAAGTTAATAGTCATTTTAATTAAAGGATGACATAATTTGATGAAAATATATACAGAATACCTTGTATTTTTATAAATAATATACCCCCTTCTCCTCAATACCTTCAAGTGAATCCGAAATGCCAGATCTGTTTTCAGGGCAAGGGGGGGTAGAAGCAATACATTGAACTAATCAGAAATCAGTCAAATAACAGGTGTACGTATATACAAAAGTCATGCTTATTTCCATTTGGTTTAGTTGATAAACTTCAGTCAGTCTCAGTCAGTCAGTAACAACGTAGAACTTCGTATGTAAGTTTGATAAACTTCACTTATCACTCTCAATGTTTTCATTTGAGTAGCCGGTTAGGCTAGAGCATAAAATGATAATATATCTGTATCAACTCTTGGACATTGTACATCACAACAGTAAACTTATCTCATTCAAATACTATTATCAGTACGGTGATTGTGAAGTGTGTTAGGTTTCACAATTGATTGATCACTGGGTGGTGATCAGTGTCATGCTTGTCTAGTCCTTATTAGTGCAGATCGAATGCTATCGATCATGTTGCAATGTGGCCAACAGTCTAGGTGACTCGACACTGCGAGCACTATGTGCTGAGATTTAGATGGTGGTTGGAGGTAGTCAACAGGAAACCCTGGACCCGGGTTTCGTGCTACTTGGCACTCGTCAGCAAGGTGTACCTGTAATCTTGAGGGAGCTGGTGCTCCCTGGCGGATTTGATCTCGTGTCACCCAGCTTCACAGTCAGAGACGTTACCACTGAGCTATCCGAGCCGTGACTAACGTCCTGTAGGACTGAGATGTAATCACAATTGATTGATCACTGGGTGGTGATCAATATCATGTGTGTCAAGTCCTTTTTAGTGCAGATCGAATGTTATTGACATGAAATCGAATCCGTCAGGGAGCACCAGTTCCCCAAGATTACAGGTATATCTTGCTGACGAGTGCCAAGTAGCACGAAACCCGGGTCCATGGTTCCCTGTTGACTACCTCCAACCACCATCTAAGTGTGTTAAGTTTACAAATCATTCAGTGATTCCAAGTTTTCAATAGTTGTCTAACTTTGATTTGTGATCTCAATCAGATATTATAATTATCAAATAAAAATTTTGTATACACTTGATGAATTCGATTTGTAACACTTGAATT